CTGTACGAGGACTGCACAAAGGTTTTTGGCTCAAAAATGACAAATGTTCTGTCTTTTCGGCAATCCTCACTTTATTTTGTCAGGCTGTTCATCTACGGCAACTGAGAGGAACAAGTTCAAGATCAGCGGCTTTTAGAAAGGCAGATATGTTTCAGCAAAGACCACAATCAATACCCACAGTTTTGCACATGAAGGATTCGAAAGTCTTTCATCATAAACGGTTGTTCTTAATCAATCTTCTGTTTGTTCCTTGTCAATAATTGCTCTTAGGTGTTTTAGAATACATGAACATCATAGAATGGGATCATTTTAGGTTTAATTCAGAGAAAACAGGCTCAATCTAACAGCAGCTGGTTGCATTTTAACATGTTCGTATATGTAGGAATTAAAGAATTTGTCTGTGATGCTTTTTTTTAATACCATAACTAATGAAATGTCAATTTGTCCATGTTGTTGTCAAAACACATTAAATATCAGAGTGTAAAAGTTCTAAAACACAATCTGTGTAACTTTTTGTTTGATTTTAGAATTTAGCTTTATGCTATCTATCTATCTATCTATCTATCTATCTATCTATCTATCTATCTATCTATCTATCTATCTATCTATCTATCTATCTATCTATCTATCTATCTATCTATCTATCTATCTATCTATCTATCTATCTATCTATCTATCTATCTATCTATCTATCTATCTATCTATCTATCTATCTATCTATCTATCTATCTATCTATCTATCTATCTATCTATCTATCTATCTATCTATCGATATCTGTATATATATAAATTTAAGCAAGAAATGAGGTGAAGATGATCAAATCGGGGTTTTTTCAAAAAGAAAAACTGTGCTCCCATGATAGTTTCAATTTAAATTTATTATTTTACTTCATTCACTGAATGGTGAGTACCAAAAAATTAATCAATAAATCAATCACCTGAAAGGGACTGCAACCATTGTGTTAAACGACTTAAATCCATATCTTGGCGAACAGCCAGATACTAATTACAGGTGTTACTGGTTTGGGTAATAAAGCTGGAGTTGTCATAGTCAATTTACCATGTGTGAAATGCAAAAGGTAATTATGTTTAAAAGAATTCACATATATTTGGAACATGAATCTAAGATTGTGACTTTTCCATTTTTCTCGGTTTGCTTGGAGCTGCGGTGTTTACACAGTAATCATACTTTGTAATTAGGAGAGCAGCGTTAGTTTAGATAGGAGCTGGTGAGGAACACTGTCACCAAGGACTAATTGCAGAATTACAATTTATTGACAACTGCGATGCAAATCCTAATGGTAAATAACACTTCTTAAATAATGAATAGTCGTTTTTCAGGGAGTGCATTTTTCTGGTGTTTAAAATAAATGAGAAACAATTTTTTTTCTTTTTGTTGGTGTTTTGATTTAAAAAAAAAAACTAGCAACTGATTACTTCACACCATACAAGGAGATTATGCAGAGAATCCCCTCTGTACAGTTACGGTATGTGCTCACGGCTGCAGACTCTGGACCTGTTCGTCTCCTCATCCTCTTGATCTCTCTGCTGCATTTGACGCCATAATCCCTGTTCCTTTTCTCTTCCTCTTTCTCTGTAAGGCCCCAAAGGGAGCTGGGTCATCACAGCGAGCTGCGACTGATTCACGACTAGCTTTTGTGGAACTGGTACAATCCAGGCTGTAAGTTACTGCTCGACCATCTGCAGGAGTTCTCTTGGCTCGAGAAAAGCCTGGATAACCCAACTACTTAAAGACTTGGAGAGGGAAAAAATGGAACGTCTGCATAATAATTTAACTTCTTTGTAAAGTCTCTTTCTCCTCTGCTTGTCTGTTCTGTTGGAAAAGTGTGTTCCTGTGGTTAAGATTTATCATCAACAATTCCAATGAAATCTTTTTTTTTTTTTTTTTAATTGTAGCGATGCAGACAATTTCAGTAGAATAAATTTATCCTTTTTTATCAGTGCTTTTCAATAGCTTTTCATTATTTAGGCATTCACATCATTAATAAAGTAAAAGACCACACTTCAAAATAAAATATTAAGTTTAAAAGGTGCATTTACAATGGCTACATATTAATACAACAGCTGAGTGATATGAAACAGTAGTTCAGCCTCACATAAACCAGTTAATGAGTATCGTACCATAAATAATTTAAGAGTAGTTATTAATATTGCAGTGGTTGAGGGTCAATTTTCAAACTGTGCATTATTCATTATTAATGTGTACTTTACTTAAATGACCAATAACTTGTTTTTATAAATAGGGCATCTGATCAAATTCGTTGAAAAGTAACAGAGTAGCTCATGGAAATTGGTTCCCATCTAAGCACATTCTGTTCTCCTTGTAATTATAACTTTTTAGAAGGGAAACAGTTTCACTACCCACTTCTGAAAAAATAATCTAATTTGGAAAGCAAGACATTAATTTTTTTTCCCCATCTAATTCAGTGTGGACTATTTAGCTCACTGGGAGTATTTCAGTAAGATTTGTCACATGCATAGTGTACGAAATAACATTTTTTAACCCTTCTGGGATAAAGAAGCTGTAGCACACCACAATACAGCATAGAGGGCTTCCAACCTCAAAGACTGAGAGCTCTTCACTGAAGACTAATCATCAAAATCCCTGGACATTCAAAAAGCTGCTCATCAATTACAAGAAAGTTTGTTGCTGTAGTGCCAGTAGTGATTTTCCCACTGATCAATGAGGAGGGTATAAATTAGAAAATGCCATTGCGGACGCAAGTTTCTCGGTTCACTGAGAATAACAACAGATCTAAATTTTTCAGGACTACTTTGGGGTTTTTAGGAATAATGAATGCAGACAAATACATGAATCACATCAGTTTGCTTTCAGAAAATTTACTCCCAAGTGTGCAAATGACATGAGAGATGTCCAGATGTCACTAGGAACTATTTCTGTCCCCACATGCAAAGAAATCCAATCACAGATATCTGTAAATTGTTTTTAAATTAAAAGCTGTATTTTCTCTGCAGTTGGGTCCTGCAGAGATGATACAAGCACTTTGTATTGCCTTGTTGCTGAAAATGTGCAATATCAATAAAATTATCTTTACCTGTACCTCTACAACATCAAATGATAATCAGTATTTTATGCAACAAAAAGGCATAGAAGTTCTTGACATGTTCTCTGTGCAACACTTTGCTAATGAGAAACCTTTTTATGCGGCGTCACTTGGTACTGAACCAGCCGGTATTAATTTGCATTAAGTAGCAGGGTTGCTTTCCAATTACTGATAGATTTAAGGTGATGTCATGACTTTCCATTCCTCCAAGCACCTCCCTTTGTTATGTGTGCAATACTTTTCCCCCCAATAAATTTTATTGCATGCAATTTATGGACAGCGAGAACGAAAAGTCTCACTTTCAAAATTTTACAAATGAATCATTATTTAAAGTGAAATTCAAGCTTTTGTGAAAGTCATAAAAATAAAATTGTTTGTAATTAAATGACACTTGATGGTACAGACAGACATGCAGGATGGTATATTTCAATCATAGCACCTCAGACACATAAAATATATCCGTGTGAGGATATATTTGGAGTAAAAGGCTTTTGACTAAATGTCTTGCAAAGACAATTTCAACATACTTGCAGGAACAGGTAAATGTGTGTGAAAGGTTAAATCTGGCATCTGTGGTGCGTCTGGTCAGTGCATCAAAATAAAAGGAAAATTTTGGTCTCTAAAGATAAATTTGTTTCTTCAAAATAAAGAGTTTAATCTGTCCAAGTCCTGCCTGCCATTCCCTTTCTATCAGTAAGTTTAACATCTGCTCCTACCTAAATGTGACATTGGGAAATTTGAAAGATTATGTGCTGGTAGCACTGTAAATGACTGGAAAAACGCCCAGTCACCTGTTCTTTAATATATTTCATGGTTTTTGTCACCACTGTTACCAAATTCAGATGGTTTGTAATCTTAATTGTGTGGAGAATTAAAAAGGATCTGCCCAAAAGAAACCACCTCAGCCCATCATTAGAATCAATCCTACATTACACCTTATCAACATGCTACCTCTCAGCTACGCCTACGCCTCCTACATTAACGCAACATCTGGATGGGATTTCTACAGTAGATTACATCAGACTGTTTAGTCTTCCCTGCAGCCTGGTAAAACTAAACCGATAGGGCAAAGGAAGTGAAATTCATCGCATACAGGAGGAGCAACTGTAAAGGGCATCGTGAGACTGATAAAAGAGGGACAGACAGGCAGCATGACATGCTGGAAACGCCTGCAGAAGAGGCCTCTGCAGAGAGGCCAGCTGAAGCAGGAATGGAACACAAAAGAGCTAAACAGAGAAATGCTTATAATATCCATTTCTCCTACACATTCTGCACATTTATTTTTTATACTTTGTGTGAAACTAGTTTATAAAACCTAAGATTTTATGCAGTATTGCAGCAGCGTAATTAATTTGCATCAGTTGCATCTTTGGACACAAGCTAATTAAGTATAAAACCAAATTCAGTTATGTCTTGTAGCTTTTGGTCATTTCAAAAGCTACAAGATGTCTGCAAAACATTTATTCTTGACTTAGCATTCAGCTCGGGATACTGTCCTAAAGCCACAGAGAAGCATTCAAAATTCATTCAGGTTTTAATATCCTTGTTCAGGGTTTGCTGACGTGTTGGAGAAAATCCCATTAAGCAAAGAGCGGGATACAAAGAACCCGTACAGACAGTCCAAACTAGATGGATTTCCAACTTTCCTCATTGAAAAACTTTACTCATTTGTGCTGTTAGCAAGTCAAAATAGATTTTTTATTATTTTTTTTAGATTCTTGAGACCATTTCCAGATTTTTTCTTTTTTTTTTTTAATCCCCAGTACTGATCAATCATCTTTGCACATTTTCGACATGCTGCTTAACAGAATGAAACAAGATTTGATTCAGTAGTCAATTTGCAAATATAAAGGGTACAAAGAGTTTAAAAAGCTTTGATAAAGTATGCCTGTCTCTTGAACATTTCTCATGATGTAACCACAAAATTTGATGTTTATTAGATTTTATGTGATGGATCAACAGAATTTTCCAGTTTTGACCTATAAAAAGATCTAAACCATGCATTACTTTATTTTTTTGTAACAGTGCACCATTTTGTGTTGGATAATCACAGAAAATCTCAACAAAATCTACTGGTGTTTGTGGCAACGTGACAAAATGTGAAGTTTAAGGGGTGAGAAATTCTCCGCAAGGCACAGTAAATATCACAATATAAGCTTCAATAAAAACTTCATTTTCATCTTTTCTTGTGGTGGTTGTCGACGGAAAACTGCACAATTCAAAACACTTTCTTTCAAAGATTACACACTGGCTAAACATCGAGTTCAGTTATATAGCATGTGGGGAGGATTGAAGAACGATTTCTATGTTTTTGAGCTGCTTCCTTTCAATCTCTTCCAAGAATATGCTGTTTTTGCAAATCTATATTTATGCTGTGATGTGAGAAAAGAAGTTGACAGTTAAGCTTATGAAAACTTTAAGAAAATCTCCCATTTGTGGCTTTTAAGGTACCATATTCTGAGCTATTTTGAGCAAAAAAAAATAGTGCTGAAGGGAGAATAAGCACGACGGATACATAAAATTGTTGCCTCGATTGGATCAGGTGGCCACACCCAGAACATTGTGTAAAACGAGCTTCATTTCTGCTCTGAGAGCAATTATTGAGAATATGTCACTTTCCTGATGCAACAGCAGGTCTTTGACTGCAAAAAATTAAATTTTCATCACCAGTGACACGTTCAGTCTACTTTGCAATTAAGCATTTATGCACTATAGTGATATAATTAGCATAAAATATTATTGCCAAGGGAGTTTGGGGAGATTGCGTGATTTCCACACATTCAGTTGTGAAGTTGGCTGTATCCTCCATTTCCTGAGAGGGGGGGTGTCCATTGATGCCACCTTCAGCTGCTCCTCATAGCGTGCGTCGCCTATCTGGCATTCCTCTTTCGTCTTTTGCTCTCAAGGATAAAGGGCGGTGACTGATGCCGTACACATCCAAACATCACTCCACCTTCTGCTAGGTCCTGTCTTTTGCTCAGTGTGACTCTGAAAGTCCTTATTTAGTCCATTTTCTACCAGAATCAGAGCGGCGAGATGCTCTGTGCTTGTAACGTGACCGTCTCTGGGTGACTCGGCTGCAGGGTCCTGTTGAGACCAAACAATATAAAGGTCAACAGTCTTTGAGGTTTTTTTTTTTTTAAGAGCAAAAATGAACACAATCCACTGAAATAATTTGGTAACACTTTATTTGAAGGGTGTGCATGACACTGTTAAAAACATGGAGTCTTTATGAATGTCTGACTGTTGTCCTGACGTCTCATTCGGTAAATAATGACTCTTTTAATGCAAAGATGGCACTTTTAATTCGACTCATTAAGTGTCATAATTTTCCGAATGACACTTCATGACAACAGTAGACATTCATAAAGACTCCTTCGTGTTCATAACAAGTGTTCTGCCAAGTCAGTCTTACCAAGAACTGACACGGCACATGATTAAAGAACTATTTCTGCACATGATTAAACTCTCATGATTACATTAAATACAATACCTGGTAGATAATTAATTGAATAAATAACTAAATATTTAAATCTGTGATTAAATACTTAATGCTAGAACATGACAGATAATTGTTCTAGCATTATTGTTTCAGTTGTCACTGTGGCTCATTAAACACAGTGATATCTGATTGGTTAATCAACAAGTCCTTTTGGTTCTGGGTCATTTTGAAAAAAAAAGAAAAAGAAATAAAAAAGCTGCATTATTGTTTTTCAGGTACCTGTTTTGAACTCCATTCTGTAGCTGCTAGTCTGTAAGAGGAAGAAGAAAAATACACAGCAACAAGTTATTTGTAGGGACGTTGTTTGATATTTTGAATCTCTTACCATCTTTGATCTTTCTGTATCTCTGTCAAAACTGATAGAGATCAGTTAAAATAGGAAATGATACGTCTCAAAATACGCTCGGTTTTACTAAACTTCAGCAAGGACAAGTAAAATGGCATAAAAAAATGTAAAATAAAGAAGAAAAATACCCTCATTAAATTCTGCATTATGATTTAGCAGTACATCAATGCTTCTTGAATTGAATCAGTTTCGCTGTCCACTTTGCAAACAGAGCTTATGCATAGCAGGAACATTTTCAAGGTTGACATATTTTTCTTTGAACGGATCCAGTTTTGGACCCGGACAATGAGGTGAGTGGCTGCTTTGCATGTTGCTGTTGCTCATATGATGGAGCTTATCAACCATCCATGTTCAGATGTGCCTCAAAAATACAATTCAATGTCAAAGTTGTTTTAAAATTAGAACAGCAGATGTTCACCTTTCCGTGTGGATTTAGACTGACTAGCAGCTACTGTGGTCAGGTCCGCAGGCAGACCCACATACACACCGCCGTAGTTCCTGAGAGGACAGGAGAAATTATGTTAGTGCAACATAATTTGTCAGTTAGATTTTGAGTAGAAACAATAAAATTAATTTGGCTAATAATAATATGTTCGTAGAATTTATTTTCTTCGGGTTTCAACTCTAAAGAAATTTCAGTCTCTTGCAAAATACTGACTTTTTTCAGATTTTGTTTTAGAACCAAAACCATTTCAACAAACTTGAGAATATTGCACACTTTTGTCTTCAGTTTATTTTATAGTCAGAGAAGATGTCATTGAGCCTTTCAAAGCAGAGTTGGGTTACAAAACAATTTTCCGAGCTTTAAACGTTTTACAGAGCTCTGTTCAATCCGTCATCTGGAGGTAGAAAAAGTATAACATGGTGGCAAACCTACCAAGAAAAGATTGTCCACTTAAAATGAAAAATGTAGCAAAGAGAGCAGTAATTAAATCTCTACTATGTTCATTTAAATGAGGTTATGTGAAACAAATTGAGTTCAAAATCCTTGAATCTATAAACAGAGTCAGAAGAAGTCCTGTTTGCAGACATGGCAACCATGTGGAAGGATATGCTCTGTTCACATGCAAAACTTTCATTCAACTTTTTTGCCTATATGTTGTTGACATTATTTGGAACGCTGAACACACCACACACCCATTGTGAAACATGGTGGTGGCAGCATCATGCTGTTTAGAAGCTTTTAATTGGCAAAAACAAAGACGCTGGTCAAAGCTAACAGGTTGAAATGAGACAAAATAAAAGGAGGTTCAAGGGATAGCAAGACTGTTTTTTTTTTCTACCTTACTAGCAGATGTTGCTGGTTACTGTTCTTGCAAAGTACTGATTGTTTGACAAAAAGCCACATGGCAACCGAAAACCTCAGAAGGGTCAAGAGAATACCTTCTTTTCTCATCGTCTGCCGAGGGATCTTCTGTCCTGATTGAGAGAAGAATCACAGGTCAGGTCAGCGTTCAGAGCCTCACACAGAAACATCTGAAGCTCTGAGAAGAAGCAGCCGCTGGCCTCCAGGGTATGTTTTGTTTCAGCTGCGCTGCGGAACATTTACGGTGAGCTGCAGGGAGTGTGGCTCATTCCCCGGTGACAGCAGCTGATGATGCGGCACATGGAATTGGCAATTATCGTTTCAGCTGAGCTTATTGAACAATCAGCTGCTTGCAGCATGTTGTTGTCGCAGAGTTCACAAAACAACAAAAATACTCAGCGTGGAGGATGATCTGTCTGCAGATTCTTTTCTTTTGAACATAAAATGCGAGTGTGTGCATGTTTTGTTTGTTCGTTTGTTTGTTTCATCTTGGAAGGAACTAAGTAGGCACTAAGGTGGACCGCTGGGATTCGAACACTTTGTGGGTCCCTACAGACTTGACCTAGCATGCTTACTCTGCTTGATTGGTAAATGATGAAATCAAGGTAAGGAGAAATGAGTCAGGAAAGTCTTTTGATGGGCATTGTAGTAGATAGATAGAGAAAGAGTTTGTATGTATGTGACAAAATGAGTGTGGTCTACACAGGAGCGCCACCAGGACTCTTGGGCCCCCTGACACAAAATTAAATTATTTAATTAAGTACTACTAAAATAATCTTAATTAATAGAAATGGAGGTTTGCAGTTTGCAAGTAGCCTATAAAATGTGCTTCACTTTGTAAAATGAGTTACTGAAATAAACTTTTCAATAATATTGTAATTTATTGAAATGCACCTGTATTTTACATCAGATTTTGAATGCAACTAGTTACTCCTTTCTTTCAACAGAAACCTTCTTTTTGAAAACCATGCATAATTTACATTCTATTTCACAATTATTACACTTCTTGGTGTTGATGTATTGTGTATCAACTTTTAGTGTCCAGTGAAACACTAAAAGTTGACATTTGTAATTTGATAAAATGTTAAAGACTTGAAGGCAACTATCTTAACTATGAACTATGTCTGACTATTTTACCAGAAACTTGATTTTAGCTTTGACTTATGTCTTGCAGAGCTTCATGAATTTCTCTAATTCTTAAAAATGGCTGATGTATACTTACAAATCTTTGGAGGCTTCTGCTGGCCCTGAGAACAGAAAACAAAAGAACAAGATTTAATCCAACCATCATATCTAATGAAGGAAGAATGTTTTAATACCAACTTCTAATTTCTGTGTTTGGAATCACTGACTCAAGGACAGACAAGAATAGGATGCTGGCAGTAGACTAATTTTATTAAGGGTGAATGTAAGCCTTTTTATTCTGTTGTTAAAACCTCTGGGTTGTGAAGTTTCATTGAAATGCAGACAAAAACCACACAGAGCTGGACAAGACTTTTTATTCTAGGAGATGTCTAGATTTTAGTTATCTGTAGAAATCCTTGTCATTCTCATGAACAAAGAAATGATCAATAAAAATCATTAAATGTCTCAGTTGAGCATCTTCACTGACCATCCCCAGTCTTTACTGCCACACTATACGCCATCTTCTAAAAGTTACATCAAGCATCGTGACGATGCGCCGTCGCTGAGCAAAAGCCATCAAGACCTCAATCATTAAGACAGCTTCATGTGAAACCTGTCGAAATCAAGCGACAGATTTCACATGAATTAGGACTTTGATTAGATAATGTGACGGTGCGTCTTAAGGCTACAGTTATTAAAACTGAAGTTAATGAGTGGTTTTGCAACTAAGTTTTGCTCAGCATTTCAGCAGACACAAAGAGCCACAGCAACTCTGCTCAGAACGGCTGTTCTTATTCTATTTTTTACAGAAACAAGTATATTACGTTCTAATGACATTCAGGACAAAACACAGACTAAAGAACTGTTTTGGTTGGAGCCATATACAGATATATTGTTTCTTTTAAGAACAGGATTTGGATTCTCTGTGTTTTCCTTCCATAGAAAGTAGTCCCACCTCAGTCCTTCAGCTGAGGTGGGACTCAGCAAACGAACAAACAAAACATGCACACACTCACATTTTATGTTGTGTGTGACTCTCCCAGTCAGTGTATTTGAAAGAAATCTTGCAAACATTAAATATGTGCGCTCTCTTCTTTTCTTCTGCATGGAAAACATGTTCTGGTGGTATTTTAGTTTTACCTGTCTCTTCCTTCTGAATGGACCGAGTGAAGAAGATAATGCTGTCATTTGTACTTACTTTGTCTTCCTTTTAAAAGTGCTTGTATTTCAGTGCTTTTGGCATCTCTTTACAGCGGAGAGCAACTTAAAAAAATTGCTTACATTAAATATGTTTGCTCATTTTGTTTGCTTTTCTTCTATAGAAATTATTTTGTCACAGTGCCACTTACTTCAACTGCATTTCTTTCCTGGAGAGTGCTACTGATATTGCAACTATAAACCACATCTTGTCTCTTTTTTCCCTCTTTTCCCTGGAAAGAACTCCTGACTCAGTTTTTCTGTGCTTCATTTTTACCATGTGTGTGTCTCCTTCTAGTCCTCTGGTCAGCACAGAGAACTGCTAATGATGAGCTGCTAGAGGTGTCTTCATAATATCACCAATTAAATAATTAACCTATTATGACAGTATTGCATAAGTACTGCATTTCAACTGAATTGAATCCAATTGGATCCAAATTCAACTATATGATTGATATGAACTGGACATATTTGTCTTATTAAGTGGCTTTTCATGATTTTGTTGCTAATAAGCAAATATTGAATTGAACAGTGTGATCATTCTTCTTTTTTTTTTTTTGTCTTTGGCATTTTAAGCCGTTGAAACTTTTACTCAATTCAGCTTAGAGTCTTGATGTTGCTTAAGAAGCTTAAAATTGCTTTTGGGTTTCAGCTCCACTGTCAAAGAACCTACAGTATGGAGAGCAGCACAAGAAGCTTCAGTTCCAATGTCACCAGTGGAAAACTCAAGGCTGTTTAGCTCCTACATGAGCCAATTAGCATGTCTTCATTCCTGAAGCACAGGCTCTACAGTGATGAAGTTAAGCTGGAGGATAAATCCTACTGTACGCATAGTTCCAACCAACAACAGTGGCGAAAGATATGCACAGGGTTGTCCTTCAGTCAAGTTTTATCTGTACTTGTGCGAAACTAATCCTGGAAGCATCAAACTAACATGAAATCATAGAAAACGAAGCAGAAAAATATGGAAAATATCTCTATCCGTGTAGAGATCTGTGTCTCTAAGGCGACAAAGAGGCCTTTTCAGTGCCCTCTACAAAAGCTCATTCATATCCGAGGCTGCGCATCTGCGTGCACAAGGCTTGGCTTGAACAATGTGACATATAGTGCGGCCATTTGAATGAACTCAATAAGGGCCAGGCTTGAATTCATGATGACCTTGTCCAACTTGACTCTCACAGCTTCTTCAATGACCTCAGCAGTGGTTAGGATTTGGATTTTTACTGGCAAAACAATGGGGATATTGACAGGTTGCACATCATATTTTAAGTTAATGTGCTGATTTTAAGTTTTTAAGAAGATAAATATACGCTGAGAATAAAAAAAACAAAACAAAGGGTAGGTCATGAAGCGTGGCTTTCCACAGCAGAATTTTACAAATTAAAAAAAATAAAATAAAAAATTAAATGTCAAAAAGTTTTTCTAATTCTGCCAGCTGAGTATTTAGGGTGATGACATCACAAGCTTGTTTCTTCAGACTGAATAATCTGGGTTGAAGATTAGGGAGATGCCAAGTAGGCCAATAGTCTCAACAATTGCAAAAATACTTGTGGAAATGAATCAAAAGCTGATCACCAATTATGAGGACCATATGCTGTCATTCCCAGGAATATTTTTCCACTTGTTATTAGAGTTTACTAGTGTAAACAACTTTCCACATGCAATTATTAACTACATAAAAATAAATGCTTTTTTTTTTTTTTTCCAAAACTGACATTTTAAGTTGTCTTGTCTTTTGTGAAATTCTTGACTGAATGAAAATAGTTTGAAATGAATGAGCTTCACTTTTTGAAATAAGTTACAGAAATAATGTTTTTTTGTTGTTGTTGTTGTTGGTATTGTAATCCCTGAGATGCTCTTGAATGTTTTCTCATAACCCTTCCCTGGTCTTCCTCACAAACTGCCTCAGTTTTATTATTTTGTGAAATGCATGGAGGGTTTTTAAGTGAAGCTCAGACATATTGCTGCAGCTGTGCAGAGAACAAAACTGAAGGAGGAATTTTATCATTAGCCTTCACTGACACAAACAGCAAGAAAATGTAGCCAAAAGAGCTTTGATTGTTTACGAAGTGACTTAGTACTGCCCAAAACCAAACCAAAAGTAAAGTTTTGTATGGGTGTTTTTTTTTTTTTTTTCTTGATTATGCAACAATCTTCTAGAACAATAAAGCCAATATCTAAAGTGAGTTTGATTGGTCTGACAGAAATATCCGGCTAGTTGCTTTAATTTTGTCCTATGACACAGGCCTGGTGTCAGCTGGCGTGGACAAATGAGAGCCACTGCTATTCCCAATTTGTCAGAGTGACAGGATGACACACGTCCTTGACACTCTTCTGATCGCTGACCTCTGAGACTAAGTCAATAAAAAATGGATGAGGCCGACTGAAGACGTCCGCCTGTCACGGACAATCGGGGTCCAGCCCGCAGGGAGGCACTTAGGTGTTGTTTACAGGCCGTGGAACCTGAGCGTGGATCACATTTGGACCAGGCTGCTACGTCAACATGCCTGGCGAGCACTGATTAGGTACCTGCAAGCACACGCACGTTTGCAGAAGCACAAACACACCCATTACGCTGCTTTAATGGACAGTGGTGCTGGTGAGGTAACTCTGCAGATACTTCAAACTAATTATTACCTAGACAATATTGCTGGTGTGTGTGTGTACAAGCGTGTGTGCGCGTGTGCGGATGCGACCCTTGAGATTTTCTCAGGTGTAATTTAAAACAGTTTGCGCCAAGTGAGTGAGATGTGCTAGGAGGAGATAAGATGGGTGAGGGTTAAAAAAACAATTTGATAAGAGAATATCCACCGTTCACACATGTCGTCCAGCTTTTACGAATCAAAGTCAGGAGTTGATTTGGTATTTCAGAGGTGCCTGCGTTCAGGACACACTCGGTATCTGCCAAGTGGGGAGACAAGGATGAGTGAATGTCAATTTGCCTTGGACAAAACAGACTGTTTACAGCAATGGATAAAACAGAGAAACTAAAAAGAAATGGCCAGATGTTGAAACTGTGTGAAAGTCAAGAGGTTTTTAGAGATGCAGTCGAGTCTTAGATTAGGGATTTTGCCAAACTGGACTTAGCATCTGCATCTTTAGCGTATTAACTCTTAAATTTGAACATTATTGTAAAATGCAAGAAGGATTCTGCAAATTTCCTTTCATTAACATGGAGAAAGAAAGATTACTAGATAGGGCAGAAGATGTTTTCATGAATGAAGTCAAGTAACCAGCATGCACCCACAAAGATGCTCTCCTGAGCGTGAGCATTACCCCGACAGACTTCATGTACCCCCAAAACGCCTTCTCCTCCTTCCCACACAGACGGTGACAGACTCTCACCCACCAACCAGCCATCACACCCCTGACTGACACATCCACACGGAGATTCCTGAAACACTCACCCCCTCCTGAGGTGCTGGTGGCTGAGGAATTGCCACAACCCATTTTGCATCGATGCAGCCACCGTCTAGGCAGAGCGGAGACGTTCAGTGAGAGGAAGGGTGAGGAGGAGAGGGGGGAAACCCACGACACATCGGAGGGAGGAGAAGGAACTGTGGGGGGTGGCGGCGGGGAAAGCAGAGAGGGAAGGTCAAGGAAATGGCTCAGAGGGATGCCCTTTGGTAGCGTGCCTGAGTCCTGCACCCGCCTGCCCCGCAAAGCCACAGAGAGCTCAGATTGAGGTGAAAGCTCTGAGACGCTTTTATACGTACACACACCGAGACGGAGAGAATGACAGCAAGAGAGAGAGAGAGAGAAAGGAAGAGAGACAGAAGGGGAGAGATGGAGAGAAAGATGCTTTGCCCTCACATGATTTGCTCTTTTTCTCCACCCTGACATGGTTGCCCGGGAAACCAGAGTAAAGAAGGCGGAGGGTGGAGTGTGACTTTAACCAATGGGGAGCTTCCGTTTTACATGAAGGTGTAAAAAATTCACTGTACTAAAGGGCATCAATACAGCCGCCTGTGGGAGAGAAATGCTCACGGTGAAATTCCTAATTTGCTTGTTGTGTGGTGAAAACAGAGGATCTTTGTGAGGCTCGCAGCGAAAAGACGACTCTTCTAAAAACAGTCCAGCTACAGGCGAACGGCAAACACCCGGCATAGGAAACCGCAAGTGCCACACAAGGGTCATGTCTTGGCCCCCGGCTGTTCTCAGGGTATTTTGATTTGTTCCAGTCAGTCATGCTTTTTGGAGCTCTTGCAGGACAGACATAGTTTGTTGTTGTTTCATTCTATGGTGATCCTTACATTAATTGATAATGTCAACCTCATTCAGGATTTTTTTCCCAACATTTCATGAAACTGTTAAGATTTTATTAAACTTTTGAGCGCATCTTTGATATCTGGAGCCCTCAAAATTCAAGTTAACCAACAATCTGTCCCAGTTTATTGAGAATTGGAGTACTATTAAGTTTTGAATCACTCAAAATTTGTCTTAACAATTAGAGAAATAGGCAAAGAATAATCCTTTGCTGGCATGTGTTTCTATCCACAGAAAAGAAGAAGTCAGTTCTCCACTAGCTACAGTAAAAGTCAGATTACAGTTTGAAAATGCAGTCAGTGGAAAACACAGTAATGTTTGTACTGTTATCTGACCAAGCCTGACTGTAAAGTACAGAGGGTGGAAGCATGATGCTGCAGAAAAACACTGGTGATGTTCACAATATGAAAGGCGTCATGAGGAAGGAACATTGTGCAGAAATATTGTAGCAACATCTGGAGATATTCAGAGGAAAGGTCGAACTGGGGCAAAAATGGATCTTTCAAATAAACAATGACCCTGTTAAAGTCCAGCGCAGTGTACACTTCTAACTATTTATCTCTCTCATTAGTTTTGACATTTAGCAAATACTGCAAATTTTGGTAACTGACAAAACAGAAAATAGTTCAGTTTAATGTGACAATATAATAATATATGTTGAAAGCTGTAGGATGATGTAAATGCATTACTCTTAATTGATTGTGGTCAAATGTGTTCACATTTTCTAATGTTTCATGTGAAGAACAACAAGTTAGCCTTGTCCCTCAGTTGCTAGACTTTCCCTTTCAAAAGAAACAACAAAAGTATTCTTTACTTTTCTAAATGAAAAGGAAATGAGTTGGCAGGGATCTTAATGATGCACAAATTTAATTATAACAATCTGTCAGCACAACTAAGGAACACAAAAAGACACACAGAGAAAATGGTTTCTAAGTTTCCAGATTATATTTTGCTTTCTTTTATCCTTGCACTGTCAGTCAATAAATTTGCAGCTTTCTCAGCAAATCTGGATCAGTATACTCTGTTCTTGAACTTCAAATACATTTTCTTTGGTGATGTGGACTTAAGTTTGAACTCTTGGTGTCAGCAGACATCACTTATTGTGCCTCTAGCAGTCCTAGGGCTAGGACTTCCTTCTGAGCTGGTTCATGATGAAAATTGTGTTTCTACATTCTCATTTGTAAGTCGATTTGTGTAAAATGAACAAACAGAAACATTTTGTGATGCTTCCATCTGTAGTTCTCCAACTCCATCCCACAGATCATGTGGACAGCAGTGCTTTACCGGATCGTTCTATGAATCTATGGAGCTAAATGGTCCTGGATTGGCATACAGGTACAGTTCTGACGTCACAGTGGGACTGGTTTAACCAATTTATGGGGAAAAGTGTCACCGCGTCAAAGATTTATAGCCTCGTTGTGCCCAAAATATTCTCACCACAGAACATGAATTTCTTGAAAGATTTATAATAATTTTCTTACAAAAAACCATATGAATTGGGATTTTCTTTGAGATTCCTTGACTACCTCTCTGCTTCTAGCATGTGGTTACTTGTTTTGCATCAGTTTGAGATTAATCTCAACAATTTTTATGATCCCCAAGGAGGAAATCTGTATCAGCATTAATTTTCTTTCCTAGAATGACACCCCATGTTTTCTTTTTCTCTTGTTCAGCTGGATCTCCCTCCTATGCTGGGTGTACTGAAGAAGAGCACCTATAATTAATAGCAGACTTAGTGATGCCTTCAAGTTTAGCAAGTTAATATAGTGAAAGTGGAAATGCACTGTCTAATTTGGACAATAAAGCAATACAAGTCCATTGGGAAGAACAAGGGAAGTCTTCTGCTCTGCCCTGGAGCATTTTGACCTGCTTGTTTAGACTATCCATATGCAGCACAATGAGCCGCCTTGATCAGTTAGAGTGTTATTCAGACCTTCAAAAAGCTTTAATGGGCTTTTTCTTACTTGATAGCCAAAAGCCAAGAGTAGGTCTTTGATGTTTTCCAATAAACAGACACAAGAAAGACTGTTTATTTTGGGTTCAGCCACTGCAGAGCATCAGATCAAATAATTAAAATATCAGTGGATTGTGGATAGGTGCACTGAAGGGTCAACTTTTTCACTCTGTGTGTTTGGTGTGGTGTACAGTGTTAGCTTTCTGTCACACAGTGTTTTGTATGTATGCCAAAATATTCTTTCTTTAGAAAATAAGACATTAAATATCTAAGGGTTGATTATTAAAATTTTAATACAAAAAACATAGGTATTTTTTAAACTTGTACACCAAATATGTTTTTTTTAGGAAAATAAGGCTTTTATCTTTTAAAGACTTCGAGGGTCACCAAAAAATCATACAGGCTCCAACTCTCAATGTTTTTGACCATCGTCATAAAACATATTCACTCATTGGCTTTTAATGGAGACTTAAACAGTAAAATATTTTACTGTTTCAATATTTTATATAGTAGTTCATTTCTGTTTAATAGTGTTTTTGTGTTTAGATTTTTTGTTTTATTTTGTTGAGACCAGTTGCAATATTTGACTTGAATTTCCACATGTTTACAGTATCTTTAGATGGGACTTCTTGGGTTACTTAAAAGCAATGTAATATATTGAAGTTTGTGGTTGCAAATATATATATATATTATATATATATATATAATAATATATATATATATATATATATATATATATATATATATATAATATATATATTATATATATATATATATAGTGTGTGTGTGTGTGTGTGTGTGTGTGTGTGTGTGTGTGTGTGTGTGTGATTTAAATATCTTTTAAATGATTTTTAAATGTTCTTCACAAGAATCTCTAAATTTGCTGTCAAGCTGCTGTAAATCCTCTTAGTGACACAAGGGGGCACTATTAATATTTGATCCTTGTTCATTTCTAAGCTAGCTCCTATTTAGCTAGCTTACACTTTAAATCACAATAAATATTAAGCTTCACAGAATAACATCAAAATCATAAAAACTATCCTCTCAAAGATTGAATGCGGTCGTTTTTATTCGTTTATTTTCTGTGGATAGGTGAGACGCGACCAGCACACTGCCCCCAAAGTTACGTTGCCACGCTGAGACTTCTGGGAAATTGAGTTCTCATTCATAGTATTTCCAGCCCCTCATTCCCGTCTCCTGGTACAGCTAACAAGATGCCGGCCGTACATCACAAACTGCTCCTTGAGGACGCCTTGCAAGACAGTCCTCAGGTACGCCTGCGTGTTTTATTTTTTGTGTTTTTTTTTTTCGTGTGCGGGGACACAGTTATCCCATTTAGTGCGTTACGAGCGCAGCGGTTAGCTTTACTTTAGCCTAGCCAGTACCCAGCGCCCACTGTGGGCTGTTTCCACTGGTCGATGATGAAAGCGTCCAGTTGACACATTGTTATTAGGGTGTAATGTGCCGGTGATTGGGAGAAACACTTCTCTACCGCAAACACAACCTCATGTGTAAATATCGCGCATTTCGTGGCGTGTATTATATTTACAATGCTACCTCTCGTCATAGGATTGTCTTCATGTATATAGCAGTGTACATCCCAAAGCCTCTATCTCAATCATATAGCTCAGTGTGAATACCGCTCTCTGTACAGTTTTATTTTCTTCTGCGACATGTAGAGCTCGGTTTTCATATGGACAACCGAGGGTGTGGGAACGGTTTCCATCATAGTCTGCAGCAGGGCTGTGTCACTGACTAACATCGCTACGTTTGCAGGATTTCAGTGCATAGCAAGAGTTAAAATCAGCTCTGGAGACCCTGGATTTACTCCCCGGGCTGTTTTCGTCTGACTGCTTGTTGCATCAGTCTTGTTTCAAACAGTGTTGTCATCTCTAAAGGATTCCACTTTAAGTGCAACCCATGCAAAGAGACATATATACATGTTCATTTTCCTCCCTTTTCAGGAAGTTGCCTTTTCTAAAATGGGGCCTAAAATCTAAGAAAAAAAAGAAGAAAAAAAGAAAAGCCCTGGCTGACAATGCTAATAATGCCTTTTTAATACAAAAGTCTTATCTTTCTTTGAGTGCCAAAAGTCAAATGCTAAGAAATGTAAACAAGACCTAACCCATATGGGCGTGTACCTCTCTGCTCTCTGCACTTCCTTGCTGCACCTGTCTGCTACAATGACTTGGCTCCGTCTTGATTTGATTTTTCTTAGTTTGCATAGACGGCCTGTAGGAAAATCTTCATGTCTTTATTTTCACCTTAACTCAGTTCCTAATGAAATACCCTCAATTTGGTCTCTTATCCCCTCTTTGAATTTGCAAGCATATTAATATCGCACAACTTTTTCCACATTTTTATGGATGAAATCTAAAAAGTCTGGTATTCATTTCTACTTCCCCCTCTCCTTTATATGATATTCCGAAACACAATTCTGACCAGCAAAGGACCTCGAATTAGCAACTTCATCATTAAGTGTTGTGTTCAGCGAGCATGTCACACTGACCATATTATAAAACACAGTGGTGGTCACGTCATGCTGAGGGGAT